TCCCGCGCCCCCGGCTCCCCCCAGCTGGGCGTGGCGGCGGAGGACCCCCCCATCTCTTTGTCCCCCTTCGGGCTCCTCAGTGCTGGCCGCTCTCGGCCCATCACACGCACACAACTCACCGCCCATGCCCATGCCTCTGCTGGCCGGTGCAGCATGACTAGTCACAAAAACTGAGAAGTTTCACTTTTTGACTATACACCGGCTCTCTCTCTCAGCAAAGGTAGCAATTCCTGAGCAGTTGTACCGAATGTCATGTATGTATGACAGAAACATGACTAGTCACAAAAACTGAGAAGTTTCACTTTTTGACTATACACCGGCTCTCTCTCTCTCTTTTTCAGAGGGGGTGGGGGAGCACCGGCTCCTCGCGGAACCCCTCGTTGTGCTCCGCGGAACCCCAGGGTTCCGCAGAGCACCAATTGGGAAACACTGAAGTAGCAAATGACAATAATACCCTGAAAGTAGGTTAGCATGTCAATGTTTGGTGGAGGCTTGCTAGCAACTCCACTAGGCAACAGCTGTTTTCAAGGGCCTGTGACAAGAAGAAATCTGTTTTTGTAAACATGTAAGTTTACAGGTTTGCTTTAAAAAAAATATTTTTACTAATTTTCCAAAGTTTTAACATAAACATGACCATTTACAGTTATTTTTAAAAGGTCTTCCTTTATAATAGCTAAGAAAGAGCAGGGTGATGGTTTAATATGTTCAGATATTTTAAGTGCTACAGTGAGGCTTGTAAAAATGTATCAACATTTCCTAAAATTACTGACTCCATAAATAACAGTATGCATGATTTACTAAGCAAATAATGTAAATAAGTAGTACAGTCATACAAACCATTCTTTAATAGCTGGTATATTTAAAAATCATTTATTTATTATGTGGGACACTGATAACGTGCATTCCAAATAAATCTGATAATAGGTACAAGTCAATAGCATTCACTGGACAGTAACTAAAAGACAAAGGACTAAGTCTCTCAGGGTGTGTCTAGACTGCAGGGTTTTTCCGGAAAAACAACTGTTTTTCCAAAAAACTTTACTTACATCCACACTGCTATTGCGTTCTTTCAAAAGAAAATCAAAAGAATGCAGGAGTTTTTCCAACATTGGTAAACCTCATTCTATGAGGAAGAATGCCTTTCCCAAACGACCTCTTTCAGAAAAAGGCGTGTGTGGATGCGGAAGAGAGAGTTTTTTCGGAAGAAGAGAAAAAAGCACAGGTGCTCTGGTGGCTACTCCATCCATAGTAATCACATCTTAAATGCGAGATTAGCATCCATTCAGTATGGATGCTATCGAAAAAGAAGATCACTTTTTCGATGCGCTTTGGCAGTGTGGATGCTGTCTTTTGGAATACGTTTTTTCGGAAGATCTCTTCTGGAAAAGCTTCTTCCAAAAGAAGCTTGCAGTCTAGATGTACCCTCAGTGAAATACCAACTTTTGCTGTAACTTTCCCTGTTAAAAAACCAGCTAGAAAAAACATTAGTAGCTTTTAGGTTTTCTGAAAAATCATACAGATCTGATTTTTCGAAATAACACCTTGTTTCCTTCTCTACTAAAGATTACTGAACATTCCTCTGGTAAATCATATCACTTCAGTGGCAACACTGGTGGGAACTCTAATGTACATAAGCCTCTTGAAATAAAGTTTGTTTCTGTTTTGCATCCTCAGAGTCTCAATGCTTAACAAATGATAAGCAATAAAAGTGCCAAAACACTAACATGTTAGTACACATGGTGAAACAAGCTTTAATCAGATGTGGAATACCGTTTAGATTTTCAATTTCTTTGTTATCCTCTATGGAAGGTATTAAATCTCTTAATAACAGTGTATTTTAGTTTCTAAAAGGAAGGTAGGAGCTACCCTTCTTAATAATTCTGGTTAATCATTCTATGCATTAATTTTTAATTACCAACTTTTAACAAGTTATTCTGCCCTCTTTATTATCCACAAGGCGTAGGCTACTTTTTAGTAAGACTAAATATATTCTAATGATCATATCAAAGTTGCCAGCAGGGTTAGAAGTTGTTTTCTGTTGGGGGAAAATATTGTTAAATATATGGTTGTAACCTTTAAAAACAATTATGTTATTTAGAAGTGATAAGTTACATACATGGCTCATACATACTTGAATTCTAATTAACACCTTTAAAGAGTGAGAGCATATATAGCTCCTGAGTCAGGTCAAATATATTTAAAACTACAATTAACATCTTTAATAGATGTCACTGCCACAGCCAAGAAAACACAAAAAAGTGGGGGCATTCATGGCAAAATCCTCCTTTGCAAGGATTAATCCTGTGTAAAGAAGACACTCAAGAGGCCAGATCTTAGCCTCTGTTAACGCTTCTTTGCACAATTCCATACTCATAAATCTAATTTAAAGATGGCCTAACTGGACAGATGAGGATTGTACTTGAATCCTCCTTGTGAATTTACTGCAGCCTGGAATAATGTAGGCTGCTCTAATTCTAATTCTGGGGATTGAACTCTGGCACTTAGCAGCTCCAGAGTGAGTCATTATAAAGATGGCCCTCAGGCTGGCCAGACTCAGTGCTTTTTTTGTAACAGTACTGCCCGGTACTTAGTACTGGCACCTCCAGTTATAGCTTACCTGGAAAGAATGGAGCATACCAGCACCTTTGTACACGAATGTCTGACAGTTGGCTGGGCCACGTGTCTTAAAGGGTCTGCCTGTCTTAAAAGGGCAATGCTGGCCCCACCTGGCTTTGCTTTTTTTTTTTTCTGAGCTGTCTCTATATTGGCACCCCTTTATTTGCATAAACATGGCTGCCGCTTTTTTCTGGCTCTGAAAATCTCTTATTCCTACTTGAAAGGGTTTATTTTCCTCAAGATCGCGTCTAGACTGGCGCTTTTCTCCGGCAAAACCCCGAGCCGGAAAAAAGCGGCAGCCATGTTCATG